CTCACTTGGTAGCCCAGGCTGGCCTCGAACTCACAGAGATCCGCCTGGCTCTGCCTCCCGAGTGCTGGGATTAAAGGCGTGCGCCACCACCGCCCGGCTCTGTCTCTGTCTCTTGAGTGCTAGGATTAAAGATATGTGTGCCACCATGCCCAATTCAAGATTTATTTTGTGTGTCTGGGTGTTCCATCTGCAACATGCACAGTGTCCACAGAGGCCAAAAGAGGGAGCTGGATCTCCTGGAACTTGTTGCCCATTGTTGTGTGGGTGCTGGGAACAGAACCTGGGTCCTCTGCAAGAGCAACGAGTGCTCCGAGCCATCTTTCCAGAACCTTGAAGTTAGCTGTTTTGTTTTGTGCCCCACCCCCACCTCCCACCCGAGTCTGAGTTTCTGTATAACAGCTCTGGAACTTGCTTTGTAGACCAGGCTGGCCTCAAACTCACAGAGATCTACCTGCCTCTGCCTCCTGAGTGCTAGGATTACAGACATGCACCACCACCACCACCCAATTTGAAGTCAGTTTTTAAAATGATTTTGTGTGTGTTTGCCTGCATATATGCATACTACGTGTGCCCAAAGAGACCACAAGATGATGTCATCCCCCAGAGCTGGAGTAACAGATTGTTGTAAGCCACCGTGTGGGTGCTGGGAATTGAACACCAGTTCTCTGAAGAGCTGCTGGTGCTTGTAACTGCTGAGCCATCTCTTCAGCCTGAGGTAAGTTTTCTTGTTTTGTTTTTATTTTTTGGTTTTTTGAGACAAGGCTTCTCTGTGTAGCCCTGGCTGTCCTGAAACTAACTCAGTAAACCAGGCTGGCTTCAAACTCAGAGATCCACCCAATACAGGGGCACCTGTCTCAGAGATTTTGCACATTTTGAAAGATTTCTCTGTTGGGCTTTGTAGCTGCTGCATACGGAGAAGCTAATGATTCTGGCTGTGTTGTTGAACAATTAGAGTAGCTTTTACATGGTAGTTCTAAAAAATAATTTTAACAACTGATTTTTTGTTTGTTTTGGTTTTGGTTTTTTGGGTTTTTTTTGAGACAGGGTTTGTCTGTGTAGCTTTGTACCTTTCCTGGATCTCACTCTGTAGCCCAGGCAGGCTTCAAACTCACAGAGATCTGCCTGCCTCTGCTTCCCGTGTGCTGGGTGGGATTAAGGCGCCGCCGCCGCCACCACCACCCAGCCTTAACTGATTTTTTTTAACCCTTCTCTAATCCTTGTCTCACTAACTGGTTGATCTAAAATAACATAATTATGATGAGAGTAAACATACTTCTCAGTCTCAACTAAAGGATATGTATACTGTTCCATTAGTTGTGATACTGGGCTTCTATTCAGTCAGGAATTTAAGAAATTATATTTTAATTTATATCAAGTAAATTTGTATCCAATTAGACAAAATGTATTTCCACTTCTCCCCTTTATTGTGTACATGTGTATATCCTTTCCTCCTTTTAGTCATACAAAGGAACATATTCACATCATATACTTTGGATGTGAGATACTAAGATGTCTCTTGCCAAATTCTCAGCAGTCCTGATGTGAAGTCACCTCCTCCCACATAACTGCAGTTTTGTACTCTGATCTGCATTTATGTATTCCCCTCACCACCACCACCACCACCACCCCTGGAACCACCATTTTATCATTTCTATGCACTTTGTTATTGCACCTTTTTTTTCATGCTAAATAATATTCCCATGTGAATGTGTTTATATACTACAATTTATCCATGTTGATGAATGTTTTGACTGTTCCCATATCTTGGATATTATGAATAGTGCCTTAGTGGATAAAGAAGTGCAAGTATCTTTCACAGCTGGTTTTGTTTCTTTGGTATATGTCCAGAAGACTACTGGATCCTACAGTAAGTCCATTTTTTTTTTTAACAACCATAGTTTTCCATGGTAGCAGCACCAGTCTCTACTCCCAACCATGTATGAAGGTACCCTGTTTGCGCACATCTTCAGTACTTCCTTTTGATAATTACCATGTTAGCAGATGAGAAGACATCTCACATCACTGGGACTCCTGATTTGCATCTTCTTAACAGTATCCAACACCTTTCACATACCTATT